AAATCTTACGTTTTGTCCGAAAGGAGAAATCTCGCTTCTACCTGGTCATGCTCTCAAAAGCTAGAGAATACATGAACATGCATAGATATTATTCCTTCATTTCTGTTATCGATTCTTGATTCTGACAAGATCTTTTCTAACTGTGCACTTTAAATTCATATTCAAAAAGCCTTCATTATGCTGGAAATACGCTCAACAGACAAATTACAAGTAGGGGCAAAAACATTAGGTGACAGGCGATAACTAGGTTTCTAATTCTTGCTGATGTATTTCATTTGGAGATACGCCGTTCAGGTCACCTTCTTTGACAAATCTTCGGTCACTCTCCGCAATTTAATACCCGTTTTCCCAACACAGCGCCTACTTTTATGTTATTTCACTTCTTCATTCCTTGATAGCATCAATTTATGCCTGAAACCATTAGACCTTCTTATGAAGCGGCTGAAGCAACAGGATCTGCTTTCGAACGCTGAATCTGTTACTATGGATATCCAACATGACCTGCATGAAGGTATCCATGATCGTATCTTTCTAGCTGACGTCACATTTCTACCCATGTCTTAGCATTTCTAAGTTCAACTATCATTCGTGCCTTTCAAAATGATCAACGTTGCACTTCATACAGGAGTTAAAAATTTACCGATATTTTTTAGGCATTTGTGCTAGCTGGGTGGCAGCACGTCCGCGTTTAAAATTAACATTTTTTGACCGCTTTTTTCATATCTGAAGATTTTCACGTTGTCCTGCATAATGAATCAAAAGATTTGAATACTGAGGTCTTACAAAGCAGATATATTCTTCTCCATGGTGTCATCTCGTAAGGACTGCCGCCGTTTTTCTTGCTGAACGAAATCACCATGTATTTCATCTGTAATGAGCCGCAGCGCACTTTTTCAAAAACTGCTTTACCTGTTTCGTTCAAGATCTATAACTGTGCTTCTTGCTTTCACTGAATTAACTGTATATGTCGTGTAAATGAAGGTATGACGCTTTGTTTCATACCATGATGCTAACCGAACCGACCTCTGCTGTTTTCCATACCCATAGCCAAAACCATTCGAATTATTTAATCTAAATTTACATCTGACCCACCTCAAGCACTATGCTCTCACTGTTATTTGCAGGTAAACGACCTGCTGCCCGTTTTTTGGCTGGTTGCACCAAAGCACAATGAAACGAATTAGCAGTAAAAAAAGATTGACACTGCGCGTTAATTTAGACTAGGCACCTCTAAAGAGCAAAGCAAACTACTCAGCATTGCGTTACTGCTTCGTAACCCTCCGCTGAATTATATTATTATTGAAGTACGTCTGTTTTATTATTCAGTGGTTCTGTACGCATGGAGAGTCGATCGTTAAACCATAATTACATCACACCTGCTGACAGTCTTATCCAAAAAACCTAATGTCTTCCTTAACAAAATGTAGTAATAGTTGCATATGAATTATGCTGTCACTAAAATATACTGAATCAACAAAGAAGCTAATTAACTGTGGCGTCGAACCCAAATGAGCTTCATTTATCATTAAAAACTGCGCTTTTTCCATTACCAATAATTCCACAAAAACAAATTTATGAAACTACCGTGTACTCTCGTTTGACTCTCGCAGAGTCAACTTCCGTTATTCTGACGAAACGAGAGTTCTCAATTTCCCTACACGAAAAGTGAAACAAAATACTTACGTTGGAATTGCTTCCTGGGGTACATAGCCGCTCTTAATCTTCAGCGGTTTTCTCCACGTACCGTCAGGCCGTCGGCTTGCAGGAATGTAAAAGTTTCCTAAAATTTTCGATACAAATATGCGGAGTAAAAGAAAAAGTCAGGAGCGTATTGATTTTCACCATACCATCTGGTCCCTGAATCGTCCGATCTACCATCTATCCAATCCAATTGCTACTGAAAGTACCTTATCAGCATATAAACGGATCACGAAGCGCCGAAGAACATTAAATGATCAAACAGTAGTGAGTTTCATACGCGACTGAATAAAAAATTTTAATTTTATTTTTACAGCACTATAACAACAATAAAAATATCTGAAAACCGACAGAACAATAACTAGGAACGTGATTTTAACACATTCGGACGATCGCCGCGGCAGTTTGGACAATACCATTTGCCTTTTGGCTTAGTGATAAGATCGACGCAGTTGAAATGGAACCACTCGATCAGACAGTTCGTGTTATCACAGCATATCATTTCCCCATAGGAAACCTGAACAAATAAGAAAAAAGTCAGTAACTAATAAATAAATATAAACTTATTGCTTGAATGAGATCGCCAAAGGCTTTAATTTTTAAACAAAACGATGAAGGAAATACCATGAGGAATAAGTGGATAAGTGTAGACAAGTTTTAACGAGACTCCACGGTCTCTAACCTTCCTATTTTCTCATTCAGACTTGGAACCGGCAAGGGTGAAGATCGACGAAACTACAACGAATATATCAATCAACAGCGGAGTCGTAACCCGTTCTGAACAACGGAGGCAGACAGCGCGATGCCACTAGAGCATGCCAGAAAAGGTTCCACGGGGACGACATCGAGAATGAGAGCTTACAGTCGGAAACTGGAATGTTTCCTCATTCAGAAGGAAAGAGCCACAGTTACTTAATATGACCAAAAGGTATCAACTCTTCATTGTTGGACTCTCGTAAACGAAGCGCCAAGAATCTGGAATTCTGAACATCTGTCGGTAAAAGCTATTCTGCTCAGGTGTAGATATCACAACACGCGATCAGACCGATGTTGGTGTTCTGGTAGAACCCAACCTTGACGATAGAATTATCGATTGGAAGCCTGTCAGCAGAAGGGTGGTAATCCTCTGACTGAAGCTACAACAGGCTAAAGCGATGACCTTGGTACAAGTCTAAGCGCCCAATTTGGAGGGAGAATATGGGACCTTCCTC